AAATCTCTGCTGCATGAGGTTCACTTATCCCCATCTCACAGGTTTGGGAGCTGAGGTCCAGGGAACAGTGTGATTTATCTCAGCTTATGCAAGGGGTCAGCAACTCCACAGTGACTTTCCACCCAGGCCCCCTCATCACAGGAGAGGACTTTCTCCTGAAGATAAGGAGATATCTTGAGCTTGTGAAAGGGGTGCTAAAGGGGCTATTTCAAGAGCAACTGTCCGGCCGATGGTGTTGGTGCGAGAAGAGAAGGCTGTGGAGGGCAGGGGCTGGGTTTAGGTAAAGATGCGGAATAGAAGGCAGGAGACAGGATGCTGAGAACAGTCCAGCTGTGAGTCTGGAGCAGGTAGGGGGTCTGCATTGAGGAAGAGATAAACACGTCCACCTGAAGAAGGGGCGAGGACAGGCAGGCTGCAGGGTAGTGGGGGTGATTCTGGAGCTGAGTATGGAGAGAGGAGCATGGGTTCTCCAGGCAGACTAGGATGGAGTCGGAGCAAAAAGTGAGCATGGCTCATCCAGTGGAGAGGACTGCAGGAGGAAAGGCCAGACGGTGTGAGAGGGCATATCCCTTGGCAGAAGACCGACCGGGGTATTCTACCCTTGGGATGTGGAAATGGAGGCTCAGCTAAGGTCACACAGGTAGTGACAGAGCCAGATCCAACCCAGGGGTCTCTGGGCCGCACCTCGGCAAGCCTCCTCTAAAGAAGCTACTGCTGATTAGCCCAACAGGAAGTCAGCATTTACATCTACTACTCAGCGCACACCTCCTACTGATAGGCACTGAAGAAATGCGTAGAGAAGCACTAAACCCAAAACGGGTCCTCAGCTTTTATGGAGGCCTACTACCATAGCTCTGCCGGGTGCTTTACCATGACACTCATCTGCGTCCCCAGATGGCCTCATAAGATGCCAGAGTGCTGGTAGGGATAGGGAGTATGGGGGAGGGGCTGAATCATTAATCCTACATCATTCATTCACTCAACAAACATTTATTGAGCACCTACTGAATGCCAGGCCTTGCGCTGGAGGGTATGGGGAGATACAACAGTAAGGCAGACCGAATTTCTTCCTTGTTGGGGGAGGAAAGCAGTCTTTCCAATCACCTGGCCCAGCTCGCATTTTAGGGATGTAAAAACTGAGGCCCGGAGAGGGGAAGTGACTTGACTAAGACCATACAAATAGTTAGCGGCAGGACCAGACCCAGTCCTCTTCTGAGGCACACTGTTCCTCAGTCATCCAGCAGATATTCACTGAGCGACCTGGGCTCTGAGATGAATACATCAGTGAACTTGAGAGCAAAGAGGGTGGGGATGGGAAGCGGGTAGGAGGGAAGAACGTCCCCAGGCTGGCGAGGGGTGGGGTGGGGTGCGGTGTTTTAGTCACACAGTTCCCCTTAAAATAAGAAGGAAGATCCAGAGCTCCACCTCCAGAGGCTGGGCTTCTGGGGCCCAGAGCTCCCCTCTCTCATCCTAGAATGGGATATAAAATCCCTTCCCGCTACTTCCAGAGAAGAGCAAGAGGAGGGGAGAGGTCAGCTTGGGCCCCCCCCCACCAGGTGAGAAGGGAGCAGGGGACCCTACCTGTGTGCAGGACGTGGGTGTCACTTATTGCCCCACTGTGGCCAGCGGTCTCATTGTGGAGATAACGCTGCTGCTGGCCCCGGCAGCAGTCCTAGTCACTCTCGTCCTGGCCCAGCCCTGTGAGGGCCCTGCCCCGGGTAAGAGCCCCTTGGACAAACAAGGAGAAGGGCAATGGAGGGGAAAACGCTTGGGTCTAGGGAGGCTGTGGCTCCACTGGACCCCGAATCCCCTTCCCTCTGAGCAGCTTACCCCAGGGTGGTGGAGACCTCGGTCCTTCAGGGCTGTACAACACAGGCCAAGTTGCTGGTGGACGCTGCCTACAATCAGACTCAGAAGATGTGGGTCTGGGGTCTGCATAAGCCTGGGAGGGTTGATGTGGGAGGATGGGCTCCAACCAAGGTCATCTCACCCATCACCCTTCCCCTGGGCACCATGGAGGGAATGCCACGTAGGTTGAGAGCCTCCCTTCCATCCCTCCTGTTTACACTGTCCACCGGCCAGGATGGGGCTCTGCTGAGCGGTCTGCTTCCTTTGTCCAGCCCTCCCGCCTTCTCTCTGAGCAGCATTAAGCAGCGCCTTCCCAGGGGCTTGGCCAGCCCCAAGGACCTACTGTTCTACTTCAAACAGCCGGTAGCGGCCACCAGGACAGCTGTTCAGGCCGCCGATCACATGCACGTGGCCTTGGGGCTGCTGGAGAAGTTATAACCCCAGGGGTCCAGCTCCTCCAATATCACCGGTACCACGCTTCGCATTGGGCTCCACGCTGCCCTGGCTTGGAAATGGCAGGAAGCCAGGAGGGAGAGGCAGGGTTCACAGCCTTGCGATGTCGGGAGGGGAGAGGGTCAAGGGATGGGAGGCATAGAACAGACCGGCTCAGGGAGGAGCTAGGATCCTGGACCCAGGACTCTGCCCACCTGTCCCGCCCCCAGATGTACTAACGGGACCCCAGCTGTGGCTGCTGTCCAAGGCCAGTGGCGGTGTTCTCTAGGGCCAGGTAGAGAAGTGCAGTGAAAAGTATTGCACCATCCCTGGGCCATGCCACAACAAGTGGGTGCCAGGGGCTACACCTGACCTAGGGTGGGGGCCTCCCTTCCCTCATCACCCCCTCCCTACATGCTGAGTGGTCTCCAGGCCTGAAACCCTGCTGACCCATGCCCACCCACTGCTGCAGGAGGATACCCTGGCTGGGGGCCTCCAACCTGGCCTTGGCTCACTGCCAGCCGAGTATGAGGAACCCGCTATCGCTCCCCTTCGACTAGACCCCTGGCAAGAGGCACAATGGCTTCCTCCTCCCTCCCGTGAGTCGCTGCTGAGGGTCTGGAGGATGCTTGATCGCTTCTAAACCCAGGGAGTAAAAACACAGCCCAGAGTCAGCCAGACAGGGCTCAAATCAAGACTCTCCCACTGGCTGGCTGGGTGACTTGGGGCAAGTAACACAGCTGAGTCTCAGTTTCCACATCTGTAAAAAGGAGGTAAAACCTGCCTCAGATTGCTGGTGTGAATATTAAATAAAGTCCTTATAGGGTGTAATCTATTCATGCTAGCCATTACAGTATTGGTTTTTTTTCCTGATAAAAATTAATGTCAAAATATCTTACTAAATATGAAGGGCTATACACCTTAATCTAGCTATATCTATTCATCTAAGCTATTTCACATATATCAATTTCTCAATTTTCTATTCATATGTCAATATAACAATCTATCACCTACCCCACTATCAACATCTGCTTATTAATTTTTCTTCCATTGACCCTTCCAGCTATCTGTCCATCTTCTCTATTAACCGTTCCCTAGCAACCAGTCCATGCATCTATCAGTTCTGTTATCCAGTTATCCATTAGTCTATAAATTGATATATCGATTTGATATAATAACCCCTCTGGAAGTTCTGTAGGGTCTGAGCCAGCCAACCTGGCCTCTCCCCTTCCCTTACCTCCTGGAATCCTCAAAAGCCAGGCCAGAGACCATCCTTCTAGGAATGACAGACAGCCACAGAAGAGGTGGGACAAAGTTTCTAAGGGGAGGGGAGGGCAGAAGAGGAGTAGAGATTGTATGTTAACTCCGGCAGGGGCGACCTGCTGCCCTCTGAGTCCCGGGTTGGCTCCCACACCTTGTGGGGTCTGGAAGCCCACACCCACTGCTGACCGATCTCCCCGTAAGGTTCAGGCTGTCTCCAACCAGATCGTACATTTTCCCAGCGAGAGGCTGGCCTGCTACCAGGGCCGGGCCATCATGTTTATGCAGTGGGGCCAGCTCGTTAACTACGACTTGAACTTCTCCCCTGAGGCCCCAGCCAGAGTGGCCTTCACTACAGGCGTCGACTGTGAGAAGACCTGTGCCCAGCTGCTCCCCTGCTGCCTCATCAAAGTACCCACAGCCGATGTTCCAGGCCCCTGGCCTCCAGCCCGGGGCTGAGAGCTAGGGGTGGGGATCTGGAAGACTTAAGTACCATCCTTAAGGGGCTGTGATGCTGGAGTATCAGACAGAGACAAGCACAGCCCTGCATGGACTCTGGTTCTATGCGTGTTTGAGGGGGTGGGGCAACCTGCCAAGAGATTCGGGGCAGGCTTCACGGAAGGGGAAGCAACTGAGACTGGCCTTGATGCACGGGTCTGACCCCAAAAGGGGAAGTCTTTGGGCTGCTGCTTTTGAAAGCCTTTAGGGTCTCTTAGTTCTCACCTTTCTCTCTTTCCTGGGGTGGTCCATGGGCCCTGCAGCTATCACCAATTCCTGGGATCCGGTTATGAGTAGGGTGCTATCCTTCAGGCTGAGAAGCAAGGATGGTGTGGAACTAGGGAGGAAGACGGACTCTAGAGAGCAGAGCCTCTGCTGGGGAACAGAGGGGGACATACATGCACACATACATACATGTACACCTTCACTCACTCTTAATAGGTAAGGCCACATTTGTGGGGAATGAAATGTGTGAGGCATGACATGTGAGGGCCCCCAGCTGGCTCCTCCCTGTTGCAACCTTACTCACTCTTCAAGCTCTGGTTCAGGGTCACCTCCGCTGGGGAGCCTTCCCATATCTACCTATTACACCTTTCACTTTTGGCTTTTAGATCGAGCATAGAAAATGGCACATCGATTATAGAGTTTCTGTTCGCTATGTGTGTGTGCCTGTTTTCAACTGAATTGCCAGCTTTCTGCAACCTGTACTGGGTTTTGCTGATCTTTACAGTCTCCAAAGCACCCAGCACAAAGGTGCTTAGGAACTGTCTGTGGAATTGAAGGGAATGAAAGGAACACAGGCCTAAATGTCAGGAGAACAAAGTTCTAATCCTTCCTCTCCCCATAACTAGTTGTCACCTCCCCTCTCTGAGCCTCAGTTTTCCCACCTGTAAAATGAGGCTCTAAGGCCTCATCCATTTCTAACCTTTCATGACTTTATGATACAAAGTATTAAGGACACTCATACTGATCTGGTGAGTCCAAGAGGGCTTCCTGGAGGAGGGGAGTATGGAGCAAGGTTTTGAAGCAGGTGTGGGATGACCAAGAGGAGCAACCTTGCTCTTAAGGGGCCCCAGTGTCACTGGCTCCTCTTTGACCACAGATTCTGCCCAATGACCCCCGAATTAAGAACCAGCGTGACTGCATCCCCTTCCTCTCCTCAGCACCCTCAAGCCTGCAGAACAGGAACGACGTCCGAAACCAGATCAATGCGCTCATCTCTTTCTTGGACGCCAGCATGGTATACAGCAGTGAGGTCTCCCTCGCCCTGCGGCTCCGCCACAAGACCAAATACCTAGGGCTGCTGGCTATCAAGCAACGTTTCAGCGACAGCAGTTGCCCTTCAACAACCTGCACGAGGACTCCCACCTCCTCACCAAATGCTCCGCGCGCATCCCCTGCTTCCTGGCAGGTCAGACTTGGGGGAGGTGATGTCTGCCCAGGACACAGCCAGTTCCTGGGTTCCGGGTTGAGAGGCCACGGTGGGATGCGGTGGGGTACATGGCTTTAGACCTCAGTATTAGGCACTCCACAGCACAGATCTGTGTGTAGCTGTCAGAATCTGTAAGTTGTCAGGAGTCTCTTTGTAAATGCCTAGTGTGTGGCCAGCAATCACCACTTGACTCTCAGTGAGAAGAGGCTCAGGGGGCTCACTGCTCTGCAGAGCTTCTGTTCATCTCGAACAGCGCTGACTGTTAGAAAGGTCCCCCAGTTTTGACCCAGCATTCACCTATTGCTCTTCGTCTGGCTTCTGGAACTTCAGGGCAGAACATGTCTCTCTTTCAAACAGTAATAGTCTCTTTAATTACCCGAAAGTAGCTTTTACTTCCACCTAAACTTTTTTCTTCTCTGGGTTCAATTCCCTTAGGTCTTCAACCCTTCCACCCCCAACCCTCCCTTGTTGCTAAATGCTGGTACCTGCTATTTTTTTCCAGATGCATAATTTGAACTCTCCTTGGGTCCTTTGCCCCCCTTGGGCTGGTTATAATGATAATGATCATCATTTCTGGTTATCTATTTCAGCGTGCCACTTCTAATCCTTGCAGCAACCCTGACAGGAAGCCATTATCACCCTTGTTTTACAGTTGAGAAACTGAGGCTCAGGGAAGAGAACTGATGTGCTCCAGCACACAGAGATCAGACGGCAGAGTCCACGGTGGGAGCTCCAGTCATGTAGTGGCCAGGTCTGTGCTCTTTCCATTCTCCTCCACTGCTTTCTTCACAGAGTCAGCTCCAGCCCTGTTCTAAGGCTTGTACCTTTCTTTGCTACTGGCAAGAGCAGCGTGCACCTTTGCTACAAGTCTACTGAAGAGTGGATTAAATAAGACCTTGCACAAAAGGGCTTAGTTCAAAGCCAGCAAATGACTGTTTGTAAGGCCCACCTTCAGGAATTTACATTCTTACCAGCCAGTGGAGAAAGTCTGGCTACAGGAAAAGGCTCTGTCCATCCCTCCCTCTTTCTTTTTCCCTTGGGCTCCCTGGGGAAAGCAGCATGATAGCCAAGTCCAAAGCTGGGGCAAGGTCCAGCCCTTGATAGAGAACATGCAGATGGATGCAGTTCATGGGACAGGTGGGCTCATGGTCCCAAAGTCAAGGTTCCTAGTCATTTAGGTCCCTCTGGCAGTTGTGGATCTGGTCATCTTGTAGAGTACAATCATTAGGCAGCTGCCCTGTGCTTTCCTACCTCACCCGAAACTGTTCCAGTCACTTAGGGATCTGAGACTCCACTGTCCTCCCTGTCCTAGCCCCTTGTGTTGGGGTCCTAGGGTGGCAGTTAGTGAGTAGCCTCACAGCACAGCTGAGGTCCAGTGAGGGTGAAGAGCTTGGCCCAGGTCAGAAATTCCCACCACCTCTCTCTAGTCCCCAGAGCTCTGTCTGCCCTGGCAGAAAGTCATTTCTCTGGGAAGAACTATGGTGACTCTGAACTTGGGGTTTTCGAGGTGACTCCCGACAGAGCAAAACCCCCAAACTGGCAGCCATGCATACCCTTTTTATGCGAAAGCAAAACCGGCTGGCTACTGAGCTGAGATGCCCGAATCCTAGGTGGACCGGAGACAAGCTATACCAGGAGGCTTGGAAGATTGTGGGGGGCCATGGTCCAGGTAGGGAGTTCCTGGGTCCCAGCATCCCTAGAAGACAATCTGGTATGAGGAACAATCTGAGGAATTGGCTCCTACCCTCCTTAACACATCCTCGAGGGTGTGCCTCAAGTCAGTCAGGTCTGATTGGGGGTGTACCTGAGATCTGACCTATACCCCCAGTTCTGCCACAAATGCACTGTGTGACCCTGTCTGCATCACTCAGCCTTTCTGGGCTTTGTATCTCCACCAGCCAATGGGAAATTAACGTTGCCACATTTGACATGGTGACAATCAAGAGTTAATATGTCTGAGCAGCCCTTCAAAAAGCCAAAGTTCTGGGCTGGCCGAGTGGCGCGATGGTTAAGAGCTGGCTCGGGACACCAGAGGGCCCTGGTTTGGATCCCACATATGAGGGCCAGTGACACTGCCCTCTACATCTAAGATGCTGAACAACAGCTCAACTTGGAGCTGGACTGCCGTGAGTTGCTGGCGACAGCGTAGGCTGCAACCCCTGCTGCAGTGGGTTGCCATGGGCTACTGTGTGTAGCCAGCAGCCAGCGTGAGTAGCCAGCAGCCGCCATGAGCGGCCGTCCAGAAGCTGGCGATTGATCTGCCTCGCCTGGGAAGAGCGCAATGATGGTGCCAACTTGGGCCAATGAAGCAACGTCCCCCACAACTAGACTGAAGAACAAAACGACAGCAACTTGTCTGTTCCCCTTCCCCCAATTCCCCAGCACTGTTCCCATCCCCCAATTCCCCAATAAAAAAAAAAATGCCAAAGTTCTGTCCAAAGGCAAGGGAGTGGGGTGGGCAGCTGCTAAGGTAATTTACTCCTACCTTTTCCTACCAGATCATCACCTACCAAGACTTCCTGCCTCTGGTTCTGGACGAGGCCCTGGCCAGGAGAACCCTGGGGCCCTACCAGAGGTATTGCTCCAACGTGGACCCTCGTGTGGCTAATGTCTTCACCCTGGCCTTCCACACCATGCTCCAGCCCTTCAAGTTCCACTTGGACAGCCAGTACCAGGCCTCAGCACCCAACGCACATGTTCCGCTTAGCTCCATCTTCTTTGCCAGCTGGAGAATTGTGCATGAAGGTGACCAGGTTCTCCAGCGGCAGATGGGAGTGAGGGTGGGGAGCACATCCTCCCCCTAGTGGGCCACGCCTACTGCCAGGAGGCTAGGCTGCTGCTCAGGCCACTGGGCTGGACCTGGTGGCTCTCAACATGCAACGTAGCCAGGACCACAGCCTCCTAGGTGAGGGGGCTGCCCACTCCTCCTCCCAGGCTTCGCTTGAACCGGAGCTGCTGCTGGTGGTTATGAGGGTGGGTTTCAGAAAAAACCCTTGGTACCTCCTCTCTGACTGGGACTGTCTACAGGATGTGCTGTGGTTCAGAGGCATGCAAGGCCAAGGTTGATGCAGGACAGCCTTCCTGGGACCACCTGTCTGCTGTCCTGCCACGTCTTCTCCATCTGTTGCAGGGGCTCTAGCTCTCAGTTCACAACAGGATCAGGGCTTGGGCATGGGGAGCTGAACAAAGGCAATCAGGACTTTCCAAATAGCAACAGTAGATTTAAGAGGCAGGGAAGAACTCCATTCCCCACAACCCTGGCAAGTTCCAAGGAGGAAGGCTAAAGTGTCAGGGAAGAGAAATTGGCTCCTGGCTCGAAGTAGGATCCTGAGGGCAGGAAATAGGGGATTGGAGGTGGGGAGGAGGTGGTAAAAGTAAGGCTGCCTTGCTGTCTGGGGAGGACACAGAAAGTTTTATCCCAGGAAAGAAGAAAAATTAGGCACTTTTCTAGGACTTTCATGGATATTAACTCATTTAGTCTTCCCAATGACCTTGAGAAGCAACTACTACAGCCATTTTTATAAGTGAAGAAATAAGCTGGGACATCTAGTAATTTGCCTAAGGCCATATAAGTAGGAAGTAGCAAAATGTGCATCAATCTCAGAATTCCTTTCTTCCTCCTGTTCAGTCCACAATGTTAGGGGAAGGCTTTGGCCACCGCTCTCTTCACCTTCTACTTTCCTGCCTAAATATAACCTGAAGCTCCATCTTCCTTGATTAATCTTTGGCTGTGTCATAACACAGGGTGGGGGGGGGGGATTTCTACTGCACCTAACACAGCGCCTGGCAGGCACACAGCAGGCACTCAAGAATCTGAGTTTCTTTCCTTCCTCACACTTGAGTGCTCCTGACAGCTACAGAGCTGTGGGCGCCCCCTACTGGAGAACTGAGATTGCTAGCTACCCAAGTTGCCACACAGAGTTTCTGTTTTCCCCAATACCTGGTCCCTGCAGTTTACTTGAATCTCTTCCCAAGTGCAGCATCAAATTTGGAATTGAAAGATCTGGTTTGAGCTCCACTTAATAGGACAGTGATCTCTCCTCCTCGGGAGCCTGCAAGCCAGGCAGCATGCTCTGCATCTGCCAATAAAGCACTGCTGAGGGCAGGAGCTGGGTGTTGGACTGAGGAGGACGTGACCTCAGTCCTATACTTTGCTCCAGATGTTTAAGAGGAGTGCTGCTAAGACACAGCTGGCACTAACCTTTAAGCCTCTCCTGCGGGCTGAGTTAAGAACATCAAAAGAAACACTCTGGAGTAGGACAAGACAGTAAAGGGGAAGGGCAGCAGTGCCAGGGACCCCAACATTAAGGAGAGTACCTCAACCACACCAGCGACCTGAGCAAAGAAACAGCTGACAGAACATCAGTCAGTATAAAAAGCTTTTATGTACAAAACACAATAAAAGGTACCACCCAGCTAGCTGCAAGGACTGGGCACCGCCTTCAGCCTTCATTAACTCCAGAAACAGTCATATCTCAAATGCAACAAGCCCCAAGCGGTAGGACTAGGCCACCCTGGAGAGAAGAGGCTGAGGCTCCTGGGCCGAGAATTCAAGGTCTATCTCACTTTCCATCTTTCTTGAGCCGCCACTTGTAAAGGGGCTGTGGAGCTGGAGGCACCTGCAGTCCATTGCTACTGAGACTGAGACAAGCCAGAAAAGAGGCTGTGTCGAGGACAGAACCAACCACGGGGTGACCAACTGGACTTGAGCCAAACTATCTGTCTTGTGGAGATGCCCGCTTGCGGTAGCTGGAATATGAATATGGGGGCCACAGGGTCTCTGGCTTTCTTGCCACAAGGCAGAGAGAAGATCCTGCTGAAGACTAGGCAGAGGGGCAGGCCTGGGGGTTTTCTCAGCGGGTCTCTATTAAGAAAGACAGGAGGTGAGAGAGCACTGGCTTTAGCTATCTCTTGTCTTGTCCTCTTACATGGAGCGCCAGGGCTACAGTGAGCTAGGAGGCCATGGTTCCCAAGGGGCTCACGAGGTCCTGGGGAAGGCTTTCTCGGGCCTCCTGCATGCGGCGCCGGGCTCGACGGAAGGCCTCTGTGACGAAAGTAAATACAGCAGTCAGCTGCCATAGTGTGGGGAGGCACACGGCCCATGCTGACTTTGGGTGGTGGCCAGCGGGGGGTGGGGGTGGGGCAGAGGGTCAAGGGGACCTACCCAACACATTGTGAGTGGAACTCTGCTGGCTAAATCCGTCCAGACGATCCAACACACTACGCATCCTCTTTCGGAGAGAATTCGACTCCATAAAGGCCCTGCAGGGGAGCGCGTCACATGGCCAGGGCTGCTCTGCAGCCCTCAGGGAGAAGGAGCCCCAAGGCGGAGGGCCGGGTCACTCACCTGGACTGCTGCAGGCAGTGCAAGCGGAAGGTGACACTACCCGTGGTCTCTGTGCGGAGCCCAAAGCGGCTCAGACGCTCCCCCTGTGGCACACAGTTAGCCAGCGTCAGGTCTCTGCAGTCTCTAGATCCCAGGCACCATGCTGGCCTCACTCCCATGCCTTACTGGCCATGACTTAGCCCCTTCCTCCTTGTGGGAGGAAGGGGCTAGGTAATAATGAAGCAATTAAGGGGTCTTAACCCAGATCCCACCTTCTACAAATGAGATGGGAACATAAGCTCCCAGCACGAAGTTTCCCCAGAGACAAAAATACCTTGAAGGTTCCTGGTATGCGCACGTAGGAGAGGTCCTCCAGTTCCAGAGAACCGCCAATGAAAAACCTCCTCAGCTCAGCCATTGTGCCAAGCTCCATGGGTCTCCACGTGGAGACTGTCAGGGTGTGTGAGCCTGTTCAGGGAGAGGACAATGAGGCCAGGGCCACAAAGGGCACATGGTCCCTTGCTGACTCCCTAGCAATGACACAGGCCTGGCCACCAATGTAACACTTGGTCTGATGACAGTCTAACCTCTGCTGAAGATGATCATGGTGGCTTAGGGGACCCACTTGGAAATCAATCAGAAATTCAAATCTCAGCTCTGCCCATTATTACCTGTGTACCCAGGACGAGTTTCTTCACCTCACTGAGCCTCATTCTCATTTAGTTAAATGAAAATAATACCTACACGCCACAGAGTAGTTGGGAGAATTACACGAGATGCACTTAGCACCACGCCTGGCACACAATAAGGACAGTGGCCATTATTTCAAAATGAACACTGATCCACTTTGCCGTGTGGCCCCTCCCTCAAGGCTGGAAGTCAATCAGAGGAGCATGGAACTGGTAGGAAAGGCACGCAGGCAGCTTGACTTCACCAGTTAGTTGCCGTTTCACTCAGTTGTCTCTAATGAGCAGGGCAACTTCCTCAACAAGAGCAAGGACTCTTGCAAGTGAAATACTTCTCATTCCTAAGTAGCCCTACTTCTTACTGGAAGCAGCTGAATCTTTTGGAAGGGTTAGTCTTGTTCCTGGGAGCTAGGGCATGCAAGCCACATGAAGGGCAGGGACCAGAGGGCACCTGGGGTGGCAGGCAGCACCACAGCTCCGTAGCCTTCCACACGGTACCTCTGCCAGAAGTCCAGGGAGAGGACCTCACAGTAGAGCACAGGCCACTCTGGGAGAGCATCTGGGAGCAAGTGAGAGAAGCAGCTGGGTCGCAGGAGGCCTTCGTTAAGAGCGGGCACCACCGGAGGACACCCAGGGCCTACGATCAACTGCTGAGCTACTCACCAGCTGATTCGTTCTCGTGGAGGAAGGAGACCTCAAATGTGAATGGATAGGAGAAGTAAGCCACCTTGTTCTAAAAAAGAGGAGTGTCGTTTTATATTCAGTGTGGGTGGGTAAGCCCTCACTTGGAATTTGTTCTCCTGGGGCCAACCACAAGGTCACCTTCACAAGGGAAAAGGAAAAACTGTCACCCCAGGTAGGAATTAAGAGGCTGGGCAGCAAAGGGACACCCAAATACAAGTTGCTCCCATTCTCTTTTTGGCTGAGCCATCCTGCCATCTGTTGGCAGCTCAGCAGCAGCTCAGCTCAGGCTGGGAATCGAACCAGTGACCCTGTTGCTCAGAGCTCACAGTTTTGAGCGAGCTCTTAACCAACTGAGCCACTCGGCCAGCCCAAGTTGCTCCCCTTCTCAAAAGCACCCCAGGACCAGGCAGCCCTGCAGAGCCCACACAGAAGGGCCAGACCCCACTTTGGAATCTATCTCCCTAGAGGGCGTGGCTGTTGGCCTGATAAATCTTCAGATGCTGCCCTAGGAGCAAAGTCCTGTTCCCATCCAGGTACCCCCTCTTGTTTTCTATACCATTCCCAGAGACTTGGTGGCACAGGTCTGTGTTGTTCCTGAGAGCTGCTGGAATGCTGGTGTTGACCAGTCTGAAAGCCAAACACAATACATAGTAAGTTTACCTGGGAGGAGGGCCAGTAGTTGAGAGCAAGACAAAGTTCCTTTATCCTTTCATTTATTCACTCACTCACACAATCAATCATTCACTTAACATTTACTGAGTGTCTGCTATGTGCTATGACCAGTCACTGGGGATATCTTGGTGACCAGATAGGAAAGGTCCCTATCTCTCACGGACCTAACATTCTAGTGGGAGGCAGACTGACAAACCAACAAGACTATTAGATAGTGAATAATGCTATTGCAAAAATAAAACAGGGTGAAGGAACTGAGTGACCTTGAGGTTCACTTCTATTGGGTGATGAGGGAAGACCTCTCAAAGGTGACACTTAGGTTGAGACCTTAACTCCAGAAGAAGCAGTTGTGCAAAGATATGGCAAAAAGGGTTTCAGACAAAGGACATGGTCCTGAAAAGCCCCTGGATACTCTAAGTTTAAGATCAACAGAAGATGAGGAGTCAGCCAAGGAGGCTGGTGATCCACCAATGAGAAAGAAGAGAGAAGCATGGAGCCAGAAGCCAAGAGAAGAGTTTTAGTGAGAAAACGTGAGCCTTGTCAAATGCTTCTGAGAGGTCAAGTAAGGTGAAAGCAGAGAAATAACCACAGGATTTGACAACCTGGAACTGATCTATGACCTTGAAAAGCACAGTAACTGTTTCAGTGCAGGAGCAGGGTAGGAAGCCTGACTGAATGCCTCTAGAAAACTGTCAGAGTGGGTATAAAAAGAGAGACTTACGAATATGACTTACTAGTAGCTGGTAATTCCACAAAGAAGTGGACGTAGAGATTGTCATATTCATAGCCTTGGGCTGAAACTAAGAAAACAGGAAATGATGTCAGCTTATTCTCCTATCACCTTTGGCACCCACCCAGTCCTAAGGGATCTATACACTTCGGAAGAAAGTCCCTGAGGGCCAGAAACTCTCTGTGGTTCCAGGAAAGACTCCTGGCTGAGTTTTCCAAGTACTTCGGGGTGGATTATTTCACAGCTCTATGGGGGCACTTGCCCAGGCATCAAGAGATCTCTGTCTGGCAAGACACTTACCTACCTCTCCATTTACAAACAGCCGGAGGGCACCTGGTGCGGTCTAAAGTAGAGAGAAGTGGGAGCGATCAGGAGGTCTAGAGGGAATCAGCACTTCCCCAGCCTGTCCACAAATCCCCAGAAAACCTGACACTGGATGTCAGATCCGGATATGTCACCATCATATTCCTCCCCACCCTGCCACTTCACAGATCTGTTTCCTTCATCTCTAAAATTTGTAACGGTAGGGAGGACAAAAACAGTATGGGAAATTTAGAAGAATAGCCAAGGGAAGCCATAACAGCTGCCCTTTGGCATTCAGTAGGAGCCTGGAGACCCCTGTTCCCTTTAGATGGCTGAGGTCAAGAAACTAGGGAGTTCCTGTTTTAGTTATTTGTGTATCTAATTTAACTTTTTTTTTTAACTTTATTGGGGAACAGTGTGTTTTTCCAGGACCCATCAGCTCCAAGTCAAGTCGTTGTCCTTCAATCTTAGTTGTGGAGGGTGCAGCTCAGCTCCAAGTCCAGTCACCATTATCAATCTAGTTGCGGGGGGACGCAGCCCACCATCCCATCTATGCAGGAGTCAAACCCGCAACCTTGTTGTTAAGAGCATGTGCTCTAACCAACTGTGCTGTTTTTTATCTTATTTAACTTTATAATACTGAACATCTGTTGCTAATGTAATATAAAAATTATGGAAGTTAATTTTTCAGAGAAAGAAAGGGAGACCAGTGTATAATTCTATCTTTGTTTCCAGATCTAGAAACGGAACTCCTGGGATGAGGAGACACAAAGAACAGGACCACAGAATAACCTAAACTGTTTTGTTTTGTTTTTAAAGAGCCAAACTATTTGACAAACAGAAACAATACCCCTTCCCTCTCTATGCAGCCTTTAGGAAAAATATTCATGTGAAGAGCAAGGAATGTATTTTTCATCTTTATTTTTAAAATTAATTATACAGTAATACCTGCATGCATTACCACTGATTAAAATTTCAAAACTACCTAAGTTTATAGAATAAAAAGTAAACACCCCTGACATATCTATCACCACCCAATATTCATCTACTATCTCTCAATCCCACCCTGTCCTCAGAAAAAGCCGCCCATGGCATGTGTGCACCTTTTGAGGTCTTTTCTGTGCATTACCAGTTCTATATTAATACGCAATGTTTTAAAAACATTGACAAGGACTATCCTCTATTCACTATTTTTTACCTCCTTTGACAATTTTTGAAGAGTATGTGTTGGGGATTTTTAAGAGAAGCCCTCAGCCACAGTCAGAATGCACTGGCTGAACCCCTCTGGCAGTGCTGCAGGAAGCCACGTACTCACCATCTCAAAGTCCGTGCCCACAAGGCTGCTGAGATACTCCTTGTGCCGGCTATAGAGCTGAGGAAGGAAACCAAACCAAAACTCAGGATGTGACCCAAGCCAGACCAGGGTCCAGTTCTAAAGGGGAGGGAGCAAAGAAGCAATAGTGGGCAATGCCACAGAGAACTGAAGGCCTAAGCATCCCAGCCACTGGCATTTTAAAGGGAAGTGCAGAGGCTGTGGAGTCCACTGGCCTGGAACCAAATCCTGGCTCTCACACATACAAGCTACATGACCTTGGGCAGACTGCTTAGCTTCTCAGTCTCAGTTTCCTCCTTTATAGTGGGAATAATACAAGTATTCACCTCAAAGGGTTGTTGTACAGTCTAAATGAAATGAAGTATGCAAAGTACCTAGCACAGAGCATGGTAAGTGCTCAAATAAATGGTCATTATGATGATGATTATGTTCTACTATGATCAAAACCTTGAGTCTGATGAGTCAGTAATGCTTCCTAAGTCAGGAGAGAGCCATTAAAAGCGGACCTTGCTACTGCTGACATCAACCTTGGACATGGCTTCAGCTCCCAGGCGCTGAGGCTCACCCCTTTGGCGCTTAGAATGAACTAGCTCTTACATCCTTGAACACACGCCGTTCCCGCTCCTCCTCTTCTGGCCGTGCGCGGGAGGACACGTTGTCGATCGTATACCTCCACAGCTCCTGTTTCTCCCCCTCGCTCTCAATTCTGTAAGGTCAAAGCCACAAAAGGACCAACTCTGGTAACAAGGGATGGGGCCCTCCAGATCTTGCTCAGGGGTGAGCCGTCCCTGGCCATACACCTCACTTAAGAGTATATGATGCCGACAATGGCCAGAATGACGACGAGGAGAAGGAAACAAAATGCAAAAACAGAAAGGGCATCAGACTAGACTGAGAGTACAGGTTCTGGGTCCACTTCTGTCTCAAAGTCACGGTGAAACCCTGAAGCACAACATCCCCTGGCACTCAGTTCTCTCACCTGAGAAATGGACAGGTGGGTCTAGATCATTTCTAATGTCTAGTTCTGTTATTCTAGGACCTAGAGATGAGGAACAATCAGCCCAGAGGAAAAGACCTGTTCTGGTTAGTCCCTACATTTAGCAGTGCAGAGAATTATTTTCACTTAACTACACTGCGGAAGCTATCACTTTCAAATTGGTGTAGTTCCCTATTTTCTCAGAACAGGATCCCCAGTATGCTAGGGGATCAATGATCCAGAAAAGAATATGAACAACTGCCTGGGAAACTTAAAAGTTAGAACAGATGAAGGGATTTCTGAGTATCGCCTCAACCAGGCACAAGAAGAGAGACCCAGGGGAGAAGGCGGGTCTCCACCACCCCTTTTTTCCTCTCCTCACCGGTAGGGTCCTTTGAGGCCAGTGAAATCAGGTTTTACTGTGATCACACCATTGCTATCCACCTTCAGCGTACAGAGGACATGTTCATACTTCTTATAGCCAAGCCTGAAAACCAGGAAATCAACAAGGTTCAGGGTCATTGGTCCCACCTCCACAGAAGGAGGAAGAGGTAGTCAGCCCACGCACGTCCGGCGAGAGGACAGAGGCTGTAGTGAGAATTATCATGGTAAAACACTTTCTTCTGAGAACAGCTGAGAAGAAGGAAAAGTCCCTCCCTTTTTATACATACCCTGGGATGACTATAACACATAGGTGACAGGGAGAGGAGACAACGGTGAGGATCTGAACAGGGCAGTGAGAAGCTTCACTCACTTTCCATAGGGCCCTAGGTCTGCCATGATGTACATTGTCTGAAGAGGGGTGTTGATGACATGGTTGTTCCTGATGAACTCTTCTGAGGGTTCCCAGGTGACAATTCGTGACTTGAGGATGCTGCCTTCCCTGAGAGACACCACAGGAAAGGTCACTTCCCTGGCACCCCCTAAAGAGCCTGAAGGGGGAACACACCCAGGTGGATACCTACTGCAGAATGGGAAGTTCATTCTGCAGCTGGACATACCGAGGTTCGAGGTGGTTCAAGGTGGACATACCAAGAACACAGGCATGCAAGGATCGCAAAGGCCCCTCCACAGCCCCCATACACACTTGTACTCACGTCCCTCTCCTATCCGGCCGTCGCCGCCTGACATTTGCCATTCGATCGACCAAGAATGATGGCAACTCACTGGCTGCAGTAGTCATTTTTTGGCAGTGCTGAGAAAAGAGAGTAATCCTGTGTAACCCAGATGGTCAGGGCCACATGGGACCAAGTACCTGAAGGGAAGTCTTCCTTTTGAAACCTCATCTGGGACCTGAACCTAAGAGGTGCAGCCATCTCACAATTACATATACGTGTACTAATGGAGGGCAGCGGTGGCACAAACACCCCAAAGAAAATGCCTACCAGGCCTTGGTTTGCCCTAACATTTTAGCAGCATATTCACAGCCTTTAGAAATGAGTTTATTTATGCTGATATTAAAATGAGTCTGTAATCTCTGGGGACATACCAACAAAAAGTTAAAAAGCTGGATGAGTTTGCCTGGTAGATGTTGACATTAACTAGGTAGTTGGAAGATACCAAATGGAATACAAGTATTCTGTGGAAAATCCTCACATGGGAGCTGAGCACTAACTGTAATTTTATTTACTTTTCTAAAACAGACAACTCAAATTTTATACGCAACCAACCCACCCACAGCTTTCCAAATAAAAGCACCAGTCTTTCAAAAACATTCACTTAACACCTGCTCCTTGCAGAAATCTGCAAGGTTGTAGACAAATGTCAGAAAACACAGGCTCTACCCTCCTTTGGTGAGTTTAAAATCTCACTGAGAAGACAGAACATATCAGGCAATGATGGAAGACAGTATTAAACGAGTCCACCAGATTATGTTGGCATAACTGAGGCCAGCTGAGGACACAAGCCATTCCCTATGGCTTGTACTGAATTCCTCTTCAAAACCATATACTCAGGAGTTTTGGCTGAATCCCCTGGTGAATTTTATCTGGATGGTTCTAGACTCCACCCACCTGTCTTATCTCATGATGCATGGAGGAAGTCAGCCCACTGGCTGCTTCTCCCGGTTTGTCATCTGCAAGCCTACATTAGAAACCCTGCCAGGTCCCCCAGGCCCTCTAACAGGTGGAGAAGGAAGCAGCAGCCACACCACCTGCAGACTGTGCCCACTCTACTCCAGCTTGGCACTCAGCAGCACAAGGCAGTTCCTAGACAGGCTCTCCGTCTCCCCTTCACAGGCTCCTGGTTTAACACACGGCACCCAGTAAGGCCAGGAATCTTGGGGAGCCAAAGGAGAAGGAAGCTATGGGACCTCGGAAAGAACAATACCTCCTCCAAATTGGTGTATCTATCAGAGTCAGTGTAGGTAAAGATTCGTCGGTTCTTCCTGCCACCTGAATCCTCCAGCTTCAGGATCTCTTGACGGTACTGATGATCCAAAGGGCTCTGACAGGCCGCTTCATTTTGGTACAGATCTACTTCAAACTAAAATCACAAGAAAACAGAGATCTACTGAGAATATGTCAAACTTTTGTTCCTATGTCTGTTTTGGTTTTTTTTAAATATTTTTATTGGGGAATTGAGGGGATGGGAACAGCACTGGGGAATTGGGGGGAGGGGGACAGACAAGTTGCTGTCATTTTGTTCTTCAATCTAGTTGTGGAGGATGTTGCTTCACTGGCCCAAGTTGACACCATCCTTGCACTCTTCCCGGGTGAGGCAGATCAGTCGCCGGCTTCTGGACGGCTGCTCACTGCGGCTGCTGGCCGCTTATGCTGGCTTCTGGCTACACACGGTAGCCCATGGCAACTCTGGCTACACACGGTAGCCCATGGCAACTCACTGCAGCAGGGGCTGCAGCCCACGCCATCTCCGGTGACTCACAGCAGCCCAGCTCCAAGTTGAGCTGTAGTTCAGCATCTTAGCTGTAGAGGGCAGTGTCACTGGCCCTCATATGTGGGATCCGAACCGGGGCCCTCTGGTGTCCCAAGCCAGCTCTTAACCATTGTGCCACTCGGCCGGCCCCCTATGTCTGTTTAATTAAAGCAGTTCCATAGTGCTGAAACAATTTGACATGTTTTCATGGCCAACTCTCATTTATCTAAACTAATGGAGGGCAAGGGATCCAAAGAATGTTAGAGCTAAAAGGGGCCAGAGTGATAATCCAACTCCACTCTTACAGATGGCATGTGGCTCAGAGGCGAAAAGTCCTCACCCAGGACCATAAAACTGGGTGGTGGCAGTCAATATGTTACACTGCCCCTGTAAACACAACAAAGGAAAGTATAAAACTGCTACGAGCTTTCAGTTTGGCAATATGTATCAAAAATCTTTCCCTGACACCATCCAGGTGGAGGTGGACCAGGTAGAAGTAGACTGAGCAGACAAGAGACACTGGCTCACCTGACTAAAAAGCTTCTCCTGCCAACCAATCAAGACCTCTTCCTCTTCATCTTCATCTGGGCGGTGTCCACCTCCAAAGACAACAGAGTGAGTCAAGTGCTTGGGCTAAACAATCACTTCTTGCTCTGTGGTTAGTTATAACCAAAGTCACTATTCATATATTTGCCACAAAACCAGCTGGAGTTCAGTGGTTTATTAAGCACTCACTCTAGACAAAGGCTGGAGAGGCTGTGGATGTGTATGTAGAAGCCAGGATTAAGATCCAAGAAGTCTTAATCACTACTCTAATTTGAATAAAAGGAAGTCATGCCTTCCAGGAATTATTAAATCTAATTCAGTGTCAAGAGCTGAAATTTAGATCTAAGCTGAATAGCTCTTCCTCAATCCCAAATGTCCACCTTTGCTAGAAAGGAAACCCTGGCATTTTTATCATTACTTTGCCTGAAGCCATATATCTAGAATCACAAACACTGTAACCTTAAGAGACCACGTATCAGGACAGAAGAGGAAAGGCAAATAAATGTTATATAAAAAACTAAATCTAATACACTCCTAGTGAGTATGCCTTTTTCAGAGATACCTGCTTCACAACCCACTAGCCCACACTCCTGCCCAGGAATATATTTTTTAACAGAATCAACAAAAGCAAAGAGATTAGTGGCCTAACACAAGCCTCTCTTCCTCACTCTTCTGCCTTCCCAGATAAAGAAAACTGCAAGTGCACAGTTGATGTTAATATGCACATTTTTCAAGCAGATCACAATTTCAAAATAGTCTGTAAAAGTGTTATATGTATACTTAGAATTTGGAGCATATGTTCTCTTAGAAAAAAAATGCCACAAATAAAATTTAGGTTGCCAGGCAAATTTATAACACATCTCAAGTATGGTATTTGTTATTTCACTACATTTGACCATAATTACAATCTGTATCTTGATGACAGGAATGTCTTATTCAATTTTCATACACAATATAATATAGCAGTTAAAATGGCCTAGGATCAAATCCTGGCTTCAACATTTACCAGCCGTGTGCCCTTGGGCAAGGAACAAACCTCTCTATGCTTTTTCTCAGACTGCAGCCCTTCTGTCTATTCTGCCTTAAGAGGTAACTACCACCCTGGGCGATTCCCAGTTCCCCAAGGGGACACATCACCACCATACACCCACTGGCGGTTGGCTGAGGCCTGAAAGTGGCCAAGTCTATGTCCTTCCCGCGCTGGGCAGCAGGCTGGTAATGGAGGTAGTGGCTTGATGTGATTCTTTGCAGGTGAACTCTATCAGGAAAAAAGAAGCCCAAAATACTGGTTACAAGACACACAACCAGGAGATGAACACGGGGCAAAGATGGAAACACAACACAGAAGAGGGTGGGGCTACCAAGGTGTGCTGGGTGCAGGCAACTGAGGCAAGCTGAGTGGGGTGCGGGGTCCTAAGGGGAAGGGTGAGGATGAGAGAGTGCCCTGGGGATACAGGGCTCCCAGGAATTTGGGAGGGGCAGGGTCTTGAAAGGGCTTGGGTGAGTCTGGAAGCTGCGAGTGGAGAGGGTTCCGGTTAGTGAGGAGAGGGACGGGGAGACAGCGGATGCAGTGATTAGGGTTATAAGCGGAAGCGGGGGCCGCCAAACACTGAGAAGTGAAGTTCAGGCTCGAATTATCTGATAGCATAAAAGCACGGGGCTCTGAGGCGATGCGACTACCGGAGGCGCAAGTTGCGCACGGGGTCCCGGGAGCGATACACAGCTTCCCCGCTGTCAGTGTTCCAGACGGTCTCCGCCATGACAGCTGCAACGCGCCGCGACTGCGCCGGAAAGCGCGCCGCCCCCAGTTTCCCTAGCAACGCAGACGCTGGATTCGGTAGGCGGAGGAGGTGCTGCGAGGCCTTCCTCGGTTCGCAGCGGCGCGCTGCAGCCATCAGCTCAGTGCAGGCCCATCCAAGGCCGAAAGCCCCTCTCAGGCTGGGGCCCCGCAGAATTACCGCTTACCTCATGTGCGCATAAAGCTCACTCACACCCAAGACCGACTTGATGCACTTTACAAATGAGGAAACTGAGGCAGAGCCATTGGCCCCTTTCATATATTAATAGATTCCTAAATGGTTATGGGGACCAGACCTAGGTCCCTGAATCCCGACCACTACTTTTTCCACCCACTACACTGACTTCCACTGAATGCTCCGGAACTTTGGCCTGAAAATTAGTGGATGTGACTCACAGACTGTTTCCATTCTTCCCAAAGGGGTCAGGGAAGGTGATGGCACTTGCTCAGACGTGAAAAATATATTCTTGGCTGAAAAAAAAAATGTCAAAAGATTTATTATTTCTTATGTTGGTATTCACTAAATCGGAGAAAGAAAAAACAAGGAAGCTAGCAGTAAGGAAAGAAAAGATGTTATTGAGCTGGGTTTTTTTCCTGCGTGTTAGTTCTGGATTTTTAAGACCTTAGATACTTCATGGCCTTCTGAAAAGCCAACAAAGTAGCATTCAGAAGTCATGCTGAAAGGACTGCCAAAGTCAGGATACACCGTAACCTCCCCAAGGTGTGTCATTTGCTGCTCCTCCCTACAGAGGATTTGTCCCCTGAAGTCAGGAATTTTATGCCAGTTTAATGATATGGCATTGGGAGCCCTGGGCAATATAGCTGCTGTTGTGTAATACAAAGAACTCACCGTAATAGCACTATTTATCATCTAGTACATCCTGAGTGCTTTGTTTGTATTGTTCCTAATCCCCGTAGTCACCCCTTAAGTAGGTATTGTTATTCCCATTTAATTGATGAAGTTAGTGAAGGCTAGGGCTTAAAGGTCTTGCTTAGGTAGAACTCCAGTAAGTGGTGAAGGAAGTTGGTTTCTAGCCAAGCCTGTCTTTTGAAGCCTGAACACCTTCCACTCTTATCTCCAAAACCTCTCATCTACCAGATTACTCCTTAAGAGCACACAATTTCCAACCTGGAAAATAATTATTTCAACAGATAATACCATAAAAGCAGAATACTAGCTCTTCAGAAATGATCTCTCTAATTTTTCCTTTTAAAGTTGTGACTATACAACACTGTGCCATATGAACAACAAATGATAAAGGTGGAGCTTGCACCAATAGTTTAGCTTGATAACCAAATCCAACTTACAGCAAAGTCAATCTGATATAATTATAAACAAAATAGGTACAATACCATATGGTATGGAAATATGTTATTTGTATAAGTAACCATAATTGAATTATTTTTATACAGGTAAACTAGATTTGTACATTTTATTTTTATTTTCTGGTATCTATAAATCAGTATTTTTAAAACCGGCATCCAAGAGTGGTGTTCAAGGAGTCTATGAACTCTTTCCTAGAATTTTGTGGGGAGCATTTTCTGGAAGGAGTTTATGGCTTTTATCAGATTCTGGAGGGAGTTTGTATTCTGATATCAAGAATGGACTGATCGGGCCAGCTGAGTGGCTCAGTTGGTTAAGAGCTCGCCCAAGAGTTTGAGCTCTAAGCAACAGCGGTTCGAGTCCCC